GTATATGTATATATATATATATATATATATATGTATATGTATATATATATATATATATATATATATATTTATTGTTGTGAAATAGATATTAGATAATTAAATATTTATTAGAAACACTAATGGTGTCAATATTATTAATTAATAATATTAACTAGTTACTAATATTGGATCTAATATATTTATATATGTATATACGGATGGGATATATGTATATAAATATCTAATTGACATGTATTTCTTATATGTGCTATAACTGATCTTAGCCAAAAACATTCTCTGCTGGCCTCATAAAGGGCTATAATTTCAGAGTGATCTGAAGAAGTAGCTACCAATGTCTGTTTGGTGGAACGCCAAGATATAGTTGTACCGTTATAACAAAATAAATATCCGGTTTGAGAGCGAGCTTTATCCGGCATCGGCATAACCAATTAATCTCGAGTAACGGAAAATAATGCTGCAAAAGAGATATCTGGTCTAGTGCATTGTGCTAGATACAATAATGCTCCGATTGCATTAAGATATGGTACTTCTGGACCCAAAATTTCTTCATCGGGTTCTTTAGGTCAAAAGGGATCCTTTTTTTAATCTAGACTGCGTACGACCATAGGTGTACTTAAGGAATGAACAGTCTCCATATTAAATCTTTTGAGTAATCTCTGAGTGTATGCTAATTGATTGAATAAGTATGCCGTCGTTTCTATGCTCAAGCTCGAGACCAAGACATAGTTAAGTTTTTCCAAGATTCTTGACCTCAAATTCATTCTTTAGATATTCAGCAACATTCTGTAGCTCTTCAGGGGTGCCAATTTGGTTTATATCATCTACATAAACTGCAATAATAGCAAATCCGGATTCTGATTTTTTTAATAAACACGCACGGGCAAATTTGATTATTTTTATAACCTTCCCTGATAAGGTATTCACTCAATCTATGATACCACATGCGGCCAGATTGTTAAGACCATAATGATCTCTGTAATTTGGCTGAGTATAATTCACGAGGAGTGTTGGGTTTGCTTATTTTAAATTCATCGCGAATTTTCATATAAATATCAGAATCTAATGAACCGTATAGATATGCCGTTACCACGTCCATTAAACGTATGTCTAATTTCTCTTGAACAACCATACTAATAAGTAAACGGAAAGTGATTGTATCCATTACTGATGATTAGGTTTCATCATAATCAATTCCAGGCCGTTGAGAAAATCCTTGAGCTACAAGGCGAGCTTTATACCTTACAATCTCATTGTTCTCATTTCTCCTACGGACGAATATCCATTTGTGTCCGACAGGCTTTATATTATCCGAAATCTGAATAATTGGCCCGAATACATTTCGTTTCTCTAAGGAAGATAATTCAGATTTTATGACTTCTTGCCACTTAGGCCAATCTTTTCTCTGACGACATTCTATTACTGAACGTGGTTCATTTCTTGAGCAACCGAGAATGCAAAAATATTATCAATGCTTATATACTTTCTTTTCCATATTTCATTGTAATAGCTTATGGAATTCTCGGTGTTCCCCGGATTTACAATTTCCTTTTCTGATATATAAGGCTCTACAGATTCATCTGGAGCTTGCTCACAAGGACCCACTTGATTAGTGGTTTCGTCTAATTTTCCTTTTCCTTTTTCGAGGAATAGAGTCCTTTGAACCAATTGGTCTTTCCCGTTTTTGTCTTGGGGGACCATCATCCATTTTTTCATTTTCATTGAGAATATTAATCCTAGCTGGAGCATTCACAGCTGGAATATGGGACTTTGTGACCCTACTAGCATCATTAAATGCATCAGGGAGTCTATTGGCAATATTTTGTAGATTGATGATTTTATTGACCTCATTTTCGCATTCAGAGGTACGAGGGTCGAGATGAGATAAATGTTGTTCATACCATGTAAGATCTTCGATTGATTTTGATTTAGCATTATTCAGGACGTCTTTGTCCTTACCAATCGTTGGAAATATTGTCTCATCAAAATGACAATCCGCAAATCTAGCGGTGAATAAATCACCCGTCATTGGTTTCAGGAACCTGATAATTGACGGTGAATCAAACCCAACGTAAATGCCAAGTCGGCACTGGGGACCCATTTTTGTCCTCTGAGGTGGAGGAGTTGGCACATGTACAGCGCATCCAAATGTACGTAGGTGCGAAATATTTGGTTCAAAGCCCAATGTCAATTGCATTGGGGAATGGATGTGATAAGCCGTCGAGCGTAATCTTATTATTGCTGATGCATGTAATACCACATGGCCCCATGCTATACTAGTGAACTTAGATCTCATCAACAACGTACGAGCAATAATTTGGATGCATTTAATCATAGATTCTGCTAATCCATTTTGAGTATGAACGTATGGTACTGGGTGCTCGACATTAATTCCCAGTGTTGCACAATAATCATCAAAAGTTTTTTATGTAAATTCTCCAGCATTATCCATCCTTATACTTTTGATAGGATAATCAGGGAAATGTGCACGGAGTTTAATAATTTGTGCTAGCAGACGTGGAAAAGCTATGTTACGTGTGGATAACAAACACACATGTGACCATCTGCAAGATGCGTCCACTAAAACCATAAAATATCTAAATGGTCCACTTGCAGGGTGTATTGGTCCACAAATATCGCCATGAATTCTTTGTAAAAATGATGGTGATTCATGACCAACCTTTTCTGTAGAAGATCTTATAATGAGTTTTCCCCTTGAACAAGATTCACAAAAATAATCTTTCGACGTCAACATTTTTGCATTATTTAATGGATGTCCTTTAGTATGTTCTGCAATTCTACGCATCATCGTTGTTCCTGGGTGACCTAGTCGATCATGCCATAACCCAAATATATCTGGATTAACCAGCTTCCATGACATAGTGGCGTAGGATTCAAAAGCTCGTATTGGGATACGATACACTCCAGAAGTCGTTGCTTCAATTTTTCATGAATAGTCTTTTTATTCCTATCATACGATGTGATACATATATATTCCTTGGAATATTCAAAAAATAGTTTCTAAGTGATACCCATTATGCCTCACATCTTTAAAACTCAATAAATTTCTTTTTGATTTAGTGGATAATAATGCATTTTCGATGTGTAGCGTGGTACCATTAGGTAATACAAGTGTTGCATTCCCGGAGCCATCTATAATTTCATCAGGACCTGATATGGCTTTAACTTGTGCTTTGCACATTGTCACACTCAAGAAATATATTTTATTAGACAGAATTGTGTGCGTTGTTGCACTATCAAGTAGACAATAATCCATTTTGTCGATACTTCCCACGATATCCTGATGAAATAATATAAAGTTAATGCTTATATAATAACATTACGTGCGAATGATGATAATTACAATATATTATTTAGAATAGCAAAATACAAGTTCGACCTTGTGAATGTATCATCCAAGGGAAATTACACATATAAATATAGTTTATTTATAATACAAAATATCTAAACCTCGGGAATTTTACTTCTGAGGTAAGACTATATACCGTATATACAACATATTTCAAAATAACTATTAAACTAATAGTATTTGATCATCGATCAATCGATATCCATAAGAAAATCTTGCAACTCAGGAGACTTTGCATCCTGATTAGGAGTTTGATCAGATATGATTTCAGTTGTATTGGCCTCAAGAAGAACATTTGGCTTTTCTATTTCTAATGCATGCGTCTGGATGCTCTTTCCTTTATTCTTCTTTGAACTTTGATATAGATTTACAAAGTGTTGGGCAGTCCTGCAGACTTTGGCCCACTGTCCATTCATCCCACACCTGTTGCAAATACTCTCAGCATGCTTCTCTTTGTCACGATTTCCATGACCGGGTTGTCTTCGTTTAGCCATATAATCATTTTTGTGGAAATATTCACGTCCACCTGGGGGACGTAGACCATTGTGCCAATTGTTATTACGTGCACCACGCCAGAATTTTCGGCCATGACCTTTGAAACGGTTCGTTTGTTTAATAGCATGTGCTTCTGGCACTGCTTGGGACCCACTGGGTCGCAAAGCGTGATTTTTCAAAAACAACTCATTAGTTTTTTCTGCAGCAAGAAGGACAGAGATCAACTCTGAATTGTTCTAAATTGGTGTTGTCTATATTGCTGTTTGAGTACAAGATTTGTCTATACTGTTGTCTATTAGTAGGAAAAGATTTTCTCTAATTTATCAAATTCTTGCATTTTTATACCACATAGTGCTAAACGAGACTCAATCTTAAATAATACTAATTATAATCTGCAACGGATTTAAAGTCTTGCAGTCTTAAATGCTGCCACTCATATTGAGCTTGTGGTAGGATTACTGTTTTCGTGTGATCGAATCTCTCCTTGAGTTTTTGCCATATTTC